AAAAAAAAAAAAAAAAAACAGGGATTTTGTGGCTGTAAGATTTTCATTCCCCCCTTTTGGGCACCATACCAGCGATGTTTCTGCATGGAGTCCCCTCCAGAGAGGCCCACGGTTGGCATCTGCCAGTCAAATCCAGGCCACTCCCTGTCGGCTCCTGATTCCAAGGGGCGGGCCACGCGGCTCTGGAGACAGTAGTCAAGGGGGAGGCGGAAACTGGGAAGACGGCCAGCATCGCTTAAGCCCTCTTTGAATCATCATGGCAATCAGCAGAGACAGTAATTCTCCCTTTTTCCCCCTCTTTGACACCCCAACCCGTTCAAAAGAGAAATCTTACCCTTGAAGAATGGCTCTTGGCAAAATGCCCACCCCTGGGAACACCCAGGAAGGGACAGGCTGGCACCGGCAGAAAGCCTCCTGCGGTTCAAGAAAACTGCCTTCAGTTTCTAAGCATTTTCTACTTTTCCTGTTTTTCACGTTGAGCTCCCTGTTTCTCATCCCAGGGGAGGATTTGAACCCAGATCTCTGCACTGTAATGAGTTGCAAGAGTCAAATACTTTGTTAACAAGGACTCCAGGGCATGTGTAAAAAAATGTTTCCCGGAGAGGGGAGGTAAAGCCACAGGCTTTGAAAATACAACCTGGCCTGTAGCCCAAAGGGAAGGATAATGCTTTTCTCTGCTGTGAAGTTCGGACTGCTTTCCGCTGCGTTCACCCCACCCTGTCCTCCTGCCCTGAGACTTCTCCCTTGCTAAATATTCAGGCCACCCAACCATGAGTCGTTCTCTGGAAGCCAGACGCAGAGGCATCCGTGTGGGCGCAGCGATTCACAGTGGCTTGCACCACGTGGAATAACGGGCGTTGGTTATCCATGTATTCCACCTGCACAGCTGCTGATGAGGTGTTGTGGTTCACACTAGAGGCTGGAAATCTGGGAAATTGCCTTGAGCTGACCATTAAGATGCATTAGCTGCACAAAAGACCCGCTCTTGGTGGGGACGAACACCACTAGAACTCCTTTCTTGATACAGCTGAGCAGACGATGGGAAGCGTCCCAGTGCGGGCCACCGGATGTGACATTCCAGTTTGGCTGCCGTGGTCTTAAGGAACTTGTGGCCAGCTCAGGGTTAAGGCTTTTAGAAGAATTGGGCCAGTAGATCTGGAGAGAATATGTTTTCGAGATGTGCCAGCCAGAAAGAGGACGAAGAAAGCTGGTGGGAGGGAGTTTCTTGGCTTCAAGTTCAGAGGGACTCCCGCCAACTCCTCTGGGCCTTCTCCAGCTTACAGATGTTCCCTGGAAGGGCTGTGATTCCAAGGCGATGGTTGTGGATGGATGGAAGGAATGTGAAATACAGGCGAGCCAACAGACCTCTGGCTGGGGGGAAAAATAATTTAAGTACATCATCTTCTCTAGGGGGCAGAAAAGCTAGTCAGGCTCAGATTTCAGCAGGGAAGACTTTTCTAAGAGGTCAAGAAGAATTACGCTTTGTACACGCTCAGGGACATTGGGGTCATAGGGACACCAAGGGTCTGGAGTGGAGGAGGGGAAGATATGATCATGATAATATTTTAACTGGAAAGCTGGAAGGGACCCTATTGAACACTGAAGTCAGCCCTAGTCGAGGAGTCACAGGGAGGATTCGAACTCCCAACCTCCGGCTGAACAGCCAGATACCTCAACTATAAAACTGTTCAGCAGTTCCCAAGGAGGTGTCTTGTGGCAGCCATTTGGCTCTTTCCTGGGAGTTAAAAGAATTGAAATATATACTGCGCCAATGGAGAGAAGGAATACCTCTTTGTCTGATGTGGCATGGTTTGAGCGGGGTGAATGGTTTTCCAGGTTCTGTGTCCAGACTACAGTCATGGCCCGTTTAGCAAGCCGGACGTGCTCCCAAGAATTGAAAGCGCTAACTGAAATAGCGCTAAACCAAATTGTTTTAACAAACTGGTGTGGAGCAGGTAGACCTGGCCCCACATCTCCTAAAGGCCCCATTTACCTCCTTTAGGTTGACTAGGACCCTACTGAGCCCCCCAAAATGGCTGCCTGAGCATGCGCGCTGTAGCAGATTAGCGCTAAATGGGGCACCTGAATGGATTTCCCAGCCTCAAGATTTTGGCTGCCTGAGCATGCGCGCTGTAGCAGATCAGCGCTAAATGGGGCACCATTCAAGTGTACCTGAATGGATTTCCCAGCTTCAAGAGTTGAAGGCCAAATCTCAACGGAATCATCGGGATGTACACTTACCCAAGTCCCTGTCATTCAAGACGTTATCTTGAGCCAACCATTAAGACCCATTAGCCATCCAAAAGACCTGCTTTTGGTGGGGATGAACGCTGCTAGAACACATGTCAATTTCGGTGCATCTTTGGATTCAGGATTTAGCCCTTAATGTCTCGGAATGCCCACCCATGGGCTGGTTTTTGTGGTTTCCTTTAGCAACGGTGCTTTTTTCCCTTTCTCCATCTGTCATGCCTCTGGCAATGAAAACAAGCTGCTCTCGCTTTCTCCCCTTCTCAGGTTTTGGATTCAGGATTTAGCCCTTAATGTCTCAGAATGCCCACCCATGGGCTGGTTTGTGTGGTTTCCTTTAGTGGTGGTGCTTTTTTCCCCTTTCTCCATCTGTCATGCCTCTGTCAATGAAAACGAGCTGCTCTCGCTTTCTCCCCTTCCCAGGTGCAGACCCGATCCGAGAACCAGCGCAAAGATGCCGTCCCAACTAGAACACGCCATGGAAACGGTGATGTTTACCTTTCACAAGTTTGCCGGGGATAAGAACTACCTAACCAAAGAGGATCTGCGCCAGCTGATGGAGAAAGAGGTCCCCGGCTATATGGAAGTGAGTCGGGCCGCGTAGAAAATAAGGAGAAGGAGGAGGAGGGAGTGGAGTCATGCATATATCTGAGCTAGCTTCAAGGGTGGCCCCATGGCGAATGTATTGCAGTAGTCAGGTCTGATGACACTGTTGATTTACATGGAGGTGTCCATGGCAAACAGGAACGATGGCCTGTTCTTAATAACCCCTTCCCCCCCTTGTGTTTTTGTTTTTTCCAGAACCAGAAAGATCCGATGGCCATCGACAGGATCATGAAGAACCTGGAGGAATGCCGAGACGGCAAGATCAACTTCGAGGGGTACCTCTCCCTTTTTGCCGGCCTGACCAACGGCTGCAACGAGTATTACGTGAAGAAGATGAAGCCCACCGGGAAGAAGTATTGAGGGGAATACCCTCCTCCATCGCGTGCTGGCCCGGGGGGGTGGGGTGCGTGGCTGTGCCAATTTCACCCCGCAAGAACCTGCTGTATCAAAGCTCCCTTTCTCTTTCCCAAAACTAACGGCTCCCACTTACAACGTCTCCGTCATGTTTCAAGCCTAGCTGTGCAGCTTAGCGAGGGATGATTCAGGCCCTATGATAAACCCGTCGCCCCATCAACTTTTCTCTAAAATGTGCCCCCAGATCTCTCTCTCCCTCCGCTACCACCGGGCTTTACCTATGCTGTATCTTTTTTGTACGGACGTGAAATAAAACATTTTCCTTCTACCAAACAGAGCCTGGTTTCGCTAGTAATAATATGTTCTTTAAAAATCCATTTCAAAAAAACGATTATTCTTTGTGCATCATCTGTGTAGGAATTTTGGATTTTCTGGACTACTGCGACTGTCAATCTCCTTTCCGGGAGTTCTGCTAGTCTCTTTCTAGTTTGTTATAATTTGCTGTAGCTTAATTGATTAGATCCTAGGGCATGTCTCGGTTCTGTCCCAGCTCATGTGCCTAACCACGCAGCCGAGATGGCGCATAACGCAAACTTTACTCAAACACCAGCAGGATTTTTTCCAGGGAGATTTACACAGGCAATGTGTTCCAGCCAAATCCGCCTTTCATACATCAGATTCTTCCTGGATTCCAGCAGTAACCATCCTGCTTCCCACCCCAAACCTTTCACCAAGGAGCCCCCACACTATTTTGCCTACACACTCAAAGTTTTGAATTTCAGGCATTAGCAGGACTGTGAAGAAAGATGATGGCTCTCTCATGCTCCCTGTCTAGTCTTCATGAGGTCTAGCAGCTTGGCCTCTTGCAGTAGTTCTTAAGGAGTTCCTCTTGAGTTCTACAGACAGGAACACGGTCTCCTCATTGCCCCCTTGTTCTCTCCTAGAGTGTGACAATACGACTGGAGGTGGCGAAAGTCTAATCCTGGGTCACTCATAATGTAACCAGGAGAACTCGGCCTTTTGCTGCCTGCATGCCACCGAATCCGGGAGGGTAGTTAATCTCCAGGAAAACAAACCAGTCCTGGATTATCATGGCTGGCTAAACCCTATTTAAAACATTGGCACAAGACTATAACACAGAGACAGGCAGACTCCGTTACCTCAAGCCTGAAGAATTTCATTCGGAAACTTTTGGAACAAGCAAATATGAAACTCGGGCCGTTGGAGAAAGCCTGGATGATAAAACACTGAGATAACAGGCTGTTCTGTACCCATTTTCAGGGGGGGGAGTGTCTGGTCCCTAGTGGATGAAAATTAGTTGGTATTTGTTCTCGAAGAATACAGTGTACGAGTGCTAAACTTGTAATTTTTGAAGTAACCGCTCTGGAGCCAAGTATATTTTTTAAAAAACAGATGAAAGGGGGAAAATTAGTATTTAGTGCTTAGATAAATCCATCCATGTCTAAAACGGGAGGAAACGATCTCTAAATGTACATGTTTACTGCTTAAAGGTATCCATTCATGGATAGTGTGGGAAGAAAAGAGCCTTAAACTTATTTGTAGAAGCCCCTAGAGCTGGTTTGTACATGCAAATAGTCTGCTTGCAAGTATCACAGAAAAGTTATGGATGCGCAGGTTTCCTTTTGACAAAAAGAGGGAGAAACCAGAGGTAACCTCAGAGGAGGAGGAAAGAGTCAACAGGAACTCCTCCACAGGATCCCTGGATAGATGGGTGCTCCCCAACCGTGGGTCTCCCAGAACTACAATTCCCAGAGATCCTGGCCAGTACAGCTGGTGCTAAAGGCTTCTGGGAGTTGCAGTCCAAGAACATCTGGGGACTCAAAGCTGGGAAGCACTGGTGTAAAACAAGTGTCCTGAAGAAGGCTATGATGAGGACTCCACCCTTCCTAGGGGCCACCTTCACATTCATAACTTCATAGCTACCACTGTGGAATTTGTTCTGGGTGGTAATTTCTGGCTTGTTCCACCTGATCGGAGCCTGGAAAATTCCTCTCCCTGCGCACATATCCATATCATGGAATCCACCTGGGGTGGCTTTGTAGTCAGTCAGCCATCAAGGTGTCCATCAAGACATCTTGATCCCTTTGCATAGACTCTCTATACTGCAGAGTGACACTAGCATCACACCGGCCGTCACTCTTCCACATCTGCATCGTGCATAATCTCTCAATATTTTTTTCCTTTCGGAAAAAGGAAGATCTGGGAGAGGGCGGAGGGCTACCAACAAAGCGTAGGGTTTGCCCATGGCAGGGCCAGAAACTCCCCCGCCAGGCAGAAAACAGGCCCTCTGTGCTTGGTGCTGAACACCATCCCCCTGCACACACTTATTCAGCATTCATTGGCATGATTCAACCCTTGTGGTTCCAGCCAAAAATATTTGACGTTGCCCAGGCGACCGGAGCCGCAAGCTGGGTGTGGCACCAGCCGGGGACAACCGTTGCTGTTTCCCCAACACATATACCCACACACGTTCGCCTCTCTTCCTCTCACACATACACACACACATAGCGTTGTTGATAAGCACATTTCAAGCAGCAGGCTGGTAACAGGGGAAGTGGGTTTTCTTTTCTGCCCAGATGTGCGCGGTCTCCCGGCAACGGCCCATAAATCAGACGAGGGAGAGCAAACATAGGACCCTTTGCAGGCAGGCCGGCACGTCTCCCGCCAGCCCTGAGCAGTGGTCGAGGCTGATGGGAGTTGTAGTCCCCCAGCAGGCCCCAGACTGCTTTCCCTTGCAAGCGGATCAAATAGTTCTTCCGAAATGCAATGCTCAATCCCATCCTGAGGTGTGCGGCTTCCTTTCTGGACAGGATCTCTGTGCTGCAAAGTTGATTCTCACGTTTATCCTAAATTCCTCTCGCTTCCACCCTTGGGAATGTTGGCATCTCCCATCAGGTCAACTTCAGTCCGTGGCGATCCTACCAACGACTGATCTCCAAAACGTCCTATCCTCTAACAGGATGCCCGTTTTGATTTTATTGATTTGCATTGAATCCAAACAAGAATCAGAAGGAAGTTGGCAGTGTTATTTATTTACAAACATCGATAAACTATCTCCTGGAAATTCTATTTTAAACCTCAAAAATCATTGTTTTGCTAACTCAGCAGCTTAGGAATCTGGCCGAGGAGCTGATGGTTGGGAGTTCGAATCCCCCACGGTGCCTCCTTAAGAGGAGCTGTACTTGATGATCTATAGGATCCCTTCCAGCTCTGCAATTCTAAGACGTTTTTGTGGTGATTAATATATTTGAAGCTTGATGATGATTGACGCTGTGATCTGTACATATAAATTAATGTATGCCATTTTATGCTTATCGCTGTGTTTTCCTGTACCTTTTCTTTGGCGTTTCATGTCTTTTGTGTGTGTGTGGTGGGGGAGATGATGGATAAGTGCCCACCCTCTCTTACAGCGAGGCCTCCAGAGTAATCTGTGGTATGCGGCAAGGAGCAAAGCTGGGCGGGAGTGAATCAGGTTGCCAGATGGACTGAAGCCAAGAAGGGATCAGAATTCCAGTCTAGGGCGGGAGATGGCTTTTAAAAAAAACATCCATCTACACTCTCCCATCCCATACCTTGAATGCTACACTGGAGTGATGATTCATGCTCTGGGAGGGAAGAGCTCACCCATGCGCCACAGAGAGGCATTGGCTGAGCCCTCAGTTGCCACCAAAGGAATTAAAAAGATAAGGCAGGCCCGGGTGGTTCGGACCAAAACCCTCTCCGGATCCATAGTCTGCTCACACACCAACCGATCGGAACCAGAAGCTGAATTGGACTGCATTATTCAGTTTGTAGGTGAGCGTTGGGGCAGCTACTCATTAAAAAAAAAAAACAGATCTAAACCTCCAAATGAAAAGACACGACAGGAAAACACAGTTACAAGCATCATGGCATCTGCTAGAATGTACAGATGGCAACATTAAAAATGATTTTGGGGATTTAAAACCATTTATGAACTACTGTATTTTGTTTGTTCATAAATGGTTTTTAATCCATTTTTTGGACCAGTATTCTGGTTCTAGGTTCTGCAGACTTAGCAGGCTTTAAGACCAGCCTAGACCTGGGGAGAATTTTGGCAGACTCTGCTTCTCCCATCACATGACTATCAGGAGTGGAAAAGTTTCCTCTCCTTAAATTTACCCCTGGCTTGGTTCCAGGTGCCCAAAAATCCTAGGTTTCCCCTTTTTGTGTCTATGCCCCTTCCGGTGCAATCAGAAAAAAACTGATATGATTGAATTCATTTTTAAAAAAAAAAACTCAATTTATTGAAAGCTGGCTTGTCTAGATTTCAGGCTGCACTTCCCCCTGAGCTGCTAATTTTCTCGGCACAGGGATTTAGCAATCCTTTGGTTCTTGTTTTAAGAGAGCGTACTGTGGGGGTAACCCCAACCTGCCGTCAGAAGCCCAAGCATGATTGCAACAGCCACATGGAGAAGGAAGTCAAAAACGACGACAGGCAGAAACTAGAATTAAACACAGGATTTTCCTCCCAAATTATTCATGGGGTCAAGTTTCATGCCACTGTGACTCAGTGTCCTCAGCCTTTCCCTCTCTCTCTTTTCTCTTTTCATCCTCAGCAGCAGTGGATCACGTTTCTCCAGTCGAATGCAGAGAGAGAGAGAGATTTAGCCATCCGGCCCTAAAAGCTTCACAAATCAATAACAGAAAAGGGTTTGGCCAAGCGTGCATGCCTGGATGTCCAAACTTGCCAGCATAGGCTCCCCCTTGCGTTGGAAAGCAGAGCAAACTTATTCAGAAAATGCTGAATTGTATGGATTAACTTGCTCTGGAATGATTATAATGGGTTCCACGAAATGTCCCTATTAACCCCGAGCAACTTTCATGTTTTTATTCTTTCCCTCGCATGGGGAGATCCTTCTGTTCATTTGTAGATTTGGCTATGTTTTGTTTTATTTCTGTGATTTGCCAGCATCCTTCCCCCATTTCATTTGAATTCCATTCTAAATTTAATTTTATCTATTTAACCACAGCGATGGCCAAAATACATGCCCAGCTCAACATCTAAAGAAGTCAAAGCTGGATAGAAAAACGAGAACCATCTCAAGACAAATCAACACGTTTGTTTCTAAAAGAACAGGAAAATACCCTAACGCATGGGTGTGTGAGCACATGCGCAGATATGAAACATGGTGCAATCAACCACCCATCTTCCTTCTTGTCATTTTTGTCCTGCAGCCACTCAGCTTCATTTTGAACCATTGATGCCACATTGCAAGAGAACTGCAACAGAAAGGTTGCAGTTAAGGGACGTAACGATACTATGCCCTCGATCAGCACACTCTCTTCCGTTGCTCCTCTGATGTCCGTTCTCCCAGGTTTATCGTCCTCACAAGAGTAGGAGATTCCTTATTCTCTCCAAAGGTGTGGGGGGAGGGGTTACTCTGCACATGCTCACGAACAACTTGGCCATCACTTTCCCTGAGACACACAGCCTTGTTTTACCCTTTTGTGCGTCCAAACCTTCTCTCGGCAACATCTTACGACATCCTGCTAAACAGCCTGGAAGATACAGATTATTTACAGCCCTCCAGAGATTGATTGCGTGGTTTTAACCTTTGGCCTTGCAGGCTAGGAATGAAGAAACGCCACTTGCAATTTTGAAGGGGAAATAGTGTGCAGTACAAATCATTTCGCAAAACAGGATGGTGACAGTGACACAACGGAGGACTTTGAAACTCTTTCGATAAATAAGAACCTCTGAAATCCAAGGATGCTAAAAGAGGCTGCTGTGTCCTATTAGATTTAATACTGAAATACAGAGAAATGTAACCGGGTCTGTTTGCAAAGAGGAAAAATATAAATATATCTGTGATCTACACGCGAGAGGGGCTTGTTAGAGGCGGAGAAATAGATCCAAATTAAGTCACATTTAGGAGCTGAATTGTTCAAATCAATGGGATTTCGTTAAACAGTTGTATCATTCCAGCGTTAACATTGTAAAGTGGCTCTACTCTGATGCTATTGCTTTTGTTTACCATTTTTCAGAGTGCAATTTGTTTCTTTTCAATAGATTCGTAAACTTCCTGTTATTTGCTTTCAATATTGTCTTTCAATAATGTATGCCGCCTAGATACACTCATTGTTTTTAGCTTTAAATATTTGTCTTTTAATTATGTAAACTGCCTTGGATCCTTTTTAAGGAGAAAGTGGTGGCAAACGTATTTTGAATACATTAATTAAATAAATAAATCTGGATCCCACCCTAACAGATTTTCTCAGAGCAGGCTCTTTTCCAGGTGAAATGATAGCTTTAAATATTTGTCTTTTAATTATGTGAACTGCCTTAGATCCTTTTAAAGGAGAAAGTGGTGGCAAACCCATTTTGAATAAATTAATTAAATAAATATATCTGGATCCCACCCTTACAGATTTTCTCAGAGCAGGCCCTTTTCCAGGTGAAATGGCCAAAAGGTAAAATATGGGCTTTTTATTCTTTCTATAAGAACATGTATAAGACACATCTCTTTTTCCTCAAATTGTACCAGAAAATAAAGCAGAGCTACAGCATTTAAATGTCGGCTGCACATGCACAGGAGTAGTTATCCCTTCAAACAAGAATGGAAAGAATTTCCCTAGGGTGCATTTATGGATTTAATGGTATTTAAAATATTTTTTACCCCACCTTCTTTCTTAAAAGGATCCAAGGCAGCTCTCTGCACATGCACAGAGGCACTCCTGTGCCAGAATGTTGGCAAGCAATTAATATTAGAAACTACCAAAGTTACTTTTTTGGGGGGGGTGACGGAACTAGCCCGCTACCCAATGGCTATACCGCTGGGACATTCTCGGAATTGCAGTGCAAAAAAAAGAACTTTTAATAAGCATTCTCTGGTCCAATCACAAGCAAGAACAGGCAAAGAAAGGCGGGCCCTTGGTTCCGAAGACTGGCATTATATCCATCCAATCACAGCCAAGGAAGGCTATCTCAGGGGCTTTTGAGGCAACGTTCTATTGACGCCCACTTCGTCCAATGAAAAGTCAAAGCCGCCCCGACGGAGCGGGACTTCGGCTTCTCTTCTCCTAGAAGAGGACGTTCTTGCACTGCACATGCGCACAGCACCTCCACGAGCTCGACCGGCAGAGAAGGCGTGCTGTTTTAACTCTCAAAGGACGGAGGCGCGCGGAAGAACAGCGCGCATGCGTTGAAAACCCTCAAGCCTATCGTGCGCCTGCGTCGAGGCCGCCGTCTTTAAATTGTCTTCTAGAAAGGGCGGGGCGACGCATTAGCGCCGCAGGTGACGTCACCGAGCTGGGCTTCCTACCGGACCTGACGTCACCGGCTTGCGGCTCCTTATTAACGGAACCGGAAGTGAAAAGAAGAAGTTGAAAGTGACAGCTGGGAAGAGAAGCCGCTGAAAGACCGGCCGGGTCGGTATATTTTGCCTAAGGGATGGGGGTGGTATGTCAGAGGTCTAGGGAGTGCGGGGCCTGAGCCCACGAGGGGGGCAGAGGTCAAAGGTCACGATGTCAGAGGTCAAAGGTCATGAGTTCAAGGTTATGCCGGGGAAGAAACCGAACTTGGAGGCTAAAATTGCCTCTCTGGAGAGGGGAGCAGCAGTTATTAATATAATTTTATCAGGAATAATTCGTCATTATTCATAGTAATTAGTAATTATTATTATTACTGATTAACAAGGGTGAGCAGTGAAGGATTAGTGGTCGTCCTGCGGTCATAGCAAGAAGCGTCGTTTAAGGTCCTGGTTCAGAACACAACGGATGGCCTTTGATGTTGATTGATCTGTTAAATTCTGATTTTACGAACGGGCTCGCAATCATGCTGGTAGTCGTAAGCAGACAAAGGCACTGAATGGGTTCCCTGTGCTTTGAAGGGCAAATGAGACAAGCAGTGTCTTCCCCAAAAAAAACAACCCTCGTTGCAATTTTCTAGGATTTAGACATTCGTTGTTTTTCATGCCAAAAGGTCGGTGGAAAACTTGCCTTGCAGGATTCTCGTTTTGTCTCGTTATGAGGGTGGCTGGTGTTCCGTTAGGTAATTCAGGGGGTTTAGAGGTCTCCGGCTGCAGAGCTAAGAGGAGTTCAGGAGTTCAAATCCCGCTCTGTGCCCCTCTTGACAGGGGCTGGACTCCATGATCCACAGGGTCCCCCCCCCAGCTGTGCACGTCTAAGATCCTACAATGATGATGATTTTGTGATTATAGAGAATTTTTTTTCATGTCTCCGGTGAGCTTCTTGTCACTTCACAGTTCTTCAGTGGAAAAGTGGAGAGGCTGTTTTTGCCTCGAGAAAATAGCCTCCAACATGGTTACAGTATAACCATGATAACCCTAATATAACCGTAACATATTACATTGTAATATAACCATAATATAATATAAACTAACTTCTGGGTAAAAGTTTAGAACAACTTGGCCCTCATCATGGATATATTTATTCCAGAACTCTATAGTCACAGTGGTGAACTAGATACTTTTGGGAAGCCTGCACAAACCGATCATATCAGCCATTCCCTTATGTTTTCAGTACTTGATGTTGAAAAATGTACTGTTTCTAAGCTCTGGGAGTAATAGGCAACTATTGCCGTGAGCTGCCCATGATATGTCTTTTACTCTGTGAATTCAAGTCCAGTTTTTCAAACGTGTGGAAGCTGAAGCCAGAGGCTTATAAGCCCTCTGTTTACACAGGCAGTACAGAAAACGAGAACTTTGTTATTAGCATTTCTGATAAGCTTCCAGAGGGCTGATTATAAAGATCCTGGTTGTAGTATGGTCAGTTACACTAGTCAATTACACTTGAGAGGGTGTTGATGCAATAGTTCCCAACCTGCGTCCCCAGATGTTCTTAGACTACAACTCCCAGAACTCCTGGCTAGCATGGCTAGTGGTGAAGGCTTCTGGGAGTTTTAGTCCAAGGATATCCGGGCACCCAAGGTTGGGTGTCACTGTATTAACACAATTATTTCTGCTTATGGGTGAGTGTCTCTATCAGCCACAGGCAGGAATGATCCACTTTGTCTCGTAACCTTGTTGGAAAAATATATGAAGTATATGGAATATGTATGAAGCCATTTGTCATATGTGTCCTTTTGTATGTTCCGAACCTCACCCAACTTCATTTCAGATTCTGGCGTGATAAGAGGTGAAGAGGGGCCTCTTAAGACCAGCAATACAAGAAGCTGAAAACTTTCAAGAAGTGTGTAAATCCTCCACTGGGTGACTTATGCTGAGGAGTTGCAGTCGGTTGGTCAAGAGGCCAATTCACTGGACGGTCCCTCCATGTGGCTCCCGGGCGGCACCCTCTGTTGGAGTCCTGAAGCCATTTTCAGGCTCCCCATTTTGGGGCACCACAGTAAGTCCTGGAAGAGGCAGAAAGCTTAGAGCGGAAAGCTTTCATAACGAAAGCTTCACCATGGGAAAACGATAGGGTCCAACCCAACAGGAGGGTTTTGGAGGGGCACACTTCGACCCATAAAACTCCCCAAATTGTCACAAAATCTGCCTTATAGAGTCATAAGACCTCAATTCTTTGTTTTGAGAAGGATGTTCTCTTGTGAGTTGCCCCAGTATTCTTAATTATCTAATTTGTGCTGCATGTAAGCCCAGTGCCAAGCAGGGAGAAACCTGGGTTGGCCACAAGGACGGCCGGTTCAATCAACTGTGGTCACCTAAAGGGGATCATGTTGGCCAGCCTGCCAAGGACACCCCTCAAAAAATACCATTAGTATCCAGCCTTGAGTTTTATCCATTAGGCTGAATCCTATTAGCAGTCAGATAAGGTTTGCATGACTTAGGACGGCTAATTGTTGCTAATTCAGGAGGTGCTGGAATGCATCTCAGTCATATATCTGGTCAGAACCCCAGTTGTGCAGCCAAGGATACATCACCTCAATTAGCTGTGGCAAGTTACACGTGCCTTATGCAAAGACGCAGCATCAGTTAGCTGCAATTAGCTGTGGCAAGTTACACCGTGCCTTATGCAAACACGCAACATCAACATAAACAATATAAGCCCATTTCTAAATTGGCGGTCTCAGCTCACAGGAGTCCATTGAATGATTGAGGTTTATGTTAAGTGTTGACTCTCCAGTCCTCAAGGGATTCAGTGGGTCTACTCTAATCCCTGCGGGTGAAATGCCATTGATGGAAGGTTCGGCTTTCATTGCCAGGAGACCTGGATTCAGTTGGCTTGTGGTGCTTTCCTCTCTACCACATGCAATCTCTGGGGGTTTTGCTTTCCTCTCTACCACATGCAATCTCTGATTTGTTTTGTTTTGTTTTCAGGTCCGGTGGTGTCAATCTGGACTGGCAAAGAATCATTGTTCCCTCCCAGATTCTGAGCCCCCAAAGGATTATGCTCTTCCCAACTCTAGCTGGAGCCCAGAAATGGTGGACGAATTCAACAAATTCACCAAGCTGGAGAAAGATGGAACATGGAGAAAGTTGCCATCTTATAGAAACGTTATAGAAGTGGTTCCAGGCAAGCACATCTGTGTTCTTAAACACCTTTTCTGTCTATTAAAATCTCTTAAATCGAAAGGTTTACAGTTTAGAATCTGCTGGATTAGTTGTAGCGCTCATCACCTCCCGAGGTCATAGGTTCTGTTGTCGTACTGCTCTGACAGTTAAGAACTTTTTCCTGATCTTCAGCCTAAATCTGGCTTCATGTAAATTGAGCCCATTATTATGTGATTGGTGTTTCTACATTTGTTGTCCATGTATGGCACGTAGAAAACTCTCAAATACATGATTGGTGTTTCTACATTTGTTGTCCATGCACGGCACATAGAAAACTCAAATACATTATAGATAATTGTTTGCCACAGTGTATTGATGAAATAACCCTCAATACTGGAGCAGGTGGAAGAAATCCAGACAGGTGCCCATTCTAGGTCTCTAATACCAGTTGTTGCCTTTGGCTTTTCCTGCAGAAAAACTAAAGCAAGTTCCCCACATGCTGAAGGATAGAGGCACCCGTTTATTTCTCCGGAACATTGATGAAGAAGGCATGGGCTTTGAGTACGCCATGTTCCTGAACCCATCAGAGAAAAGGCTGGTGTCTATGGTCCAGTTTGGTCCATATCTCGAAGGACCACCAGGGTAAGAGTCACATCTGTCCACCCCAATGTTAAGATATAACTCCTGTTGAATCCAAAATGACTCCCCCCCCGATGCTGTTCCGGATTACAGTTCCCATAATCCCTGACTATGTACTGTGATTTCCAGGTGTGCCCATGGCGGATCCATTGCCACCATTCTGGATAGCGTCCTCGGTGTGTTGGCCCTCTGTGTCGTCGGCAGGGTGATGACTGCCAACCTCAACATAAACTATAAAAGGTAACTGGAGTAACTGCGTGTGCCCTTGGAAAATAAGAACGAACGGTCAGGGTCATAGCTTCACAAACCCGGAGGACAATTTTCCATGTATACCCAGAAGTCACCAGAGTCCACGCCAGTCCTGAAAATGGAAAAATGTCATGAAAAAAATCAGACTCACACTGGTGAAGGTCTGGAGCTGCTTGGAGTTCTTCCCCTCTCTTTTGTCAACTTAAATTGTCCTTCGAAGCTCCTCGGGTTGTTGTTCCTCTGCCGCCTATTTTCCCTTAACCCAAGTTCACGGCAGGACGGCCGCAGCAGCCAAGGGTGCCCTCTTATGCTGACGAGCTTCTCCTCCATCCCAACAGCCCCGTCCCTCTGGGCCCTGCCGTCCTGGTGGAAAGCAAGCTGGACCGGACGGAGGGCCGGAAAGTGTTCGTGACGGGCGAGATAAGGAGTCATGACGGGCAGACCCTCCACGCCGAGGCTGAAGGTACGTGCCTGCTTTGATCCACCTTTGGCAGCTAGTCACTGAATGTCTGGTTCCTCAGGATTCGCACCGGGGACATCCTCAGCCAACGTTCGCGGGAGTCCAGACATGTAGGCTGGAGAAATAAAAACAGCCCACATTGGGCTGACTCTCCTTTAGAAAATGGTTTGTAGAGATGGCAGAATATACCAGATGGGCGGGATATAAATCAAACAAATAGATAAATAAATAGAGATAGGTATTTACTAGCGTTTTCATTTTCTTTTCTTCTTTGCCTTCACTGTGCGCAACACTGGAAAAGATCATTCCTACTGCCATTCCAAGGAATATCTTAAAAATGCCTGCTGCCCAGTTCGATGAAGGCATAATTAACCTCTCCTCTATTTTCTCTCCTCTTCTTAGGTTTGTTCATCTTGTGGGAAAATCTGCCTTTGAACAACAAGCCGAAGTAATCCATCTGCGTTTACCAGAAGAAGCCAGCTTGTTGGGATTCCCAGTCTGTCCCAGTGCTGCTGCTGGAAACCACAAAGGGCTCTCTCCTGCTCCTGAAACCTTTTGAATCCTGGTGGCACTTATCTTCCCAGCCAGTATCTAGTCAACCCGGGACAGCTTTTGCGACGAGTTTTGATCTCACCTGTCACCTTGGCAGGCCACAGTATTTTGTTCCGGGAGATGCGGCGCCACCGCATTATGCTTCCGGGAGATGTTCTTTCCCCAGGCTCAGCCGATTTGTTTTATATTTTTTTATTTCTTTGTTTTGTATTGAAATAAGAATTCATGACAGGAGTTGGCTGGATTAACAAGTCCTCTTTTCCCTAAACATAGTATTAACTAGAGGGGTGCAGATTCGACTACAATTCCCAGCTGGCCAATCATGGGGATTTTGGTCTCTAACAGCAGGAGTTGTTAGGTCAGGAACATGAGCCACGTTTAAAATGAAAATCAAAAGAAGACTGAAACGAAGGTAGCCGCGAGATCAAGAAGTTGTATTAATCCGATCACAACCAGAACAAAAAAGGGGTACGGAAATTTTAACCCTAAACTGCAAAGCAGTTTAATCCACAGGAGGAAGACGGAGAAGTCAAAGAGAGGCAATGAAACGGGGACTAACCATTGGACAGCTCTCTCTTCAAGAAGTGCAGAGGGCAAATTACCAGTAATTAACTTGGCTGGGGGACGGGGGAAGTGCAGTTTAAAGATAGAAAGAGAACTGGAAGGTGCGTCATGAAACACCCCTGTCTGGGCTGTTGTGGAAGATGGCCAGGAAAGGACCCATGTTGAATTATTTATTTCCTTTATTTTTATTTAGATGCACTATTTTTCCCACAGGGGATGCAAGGGGGCTCACCATCAGTGAGACAGAAAAGACATTTCAGCGCAGAGTGACAAATATTGAGAGCAATAAAACAAATAATACAAAAGCCCACTGCTTAAGAAACCATTTCTTTACTTAGGACATTTCTATTCTGCCCTGTATCCTAAGATTTCAGGGCCACGTGAAACACTGAAATATCCCATTGCAACTATTGAAGGCCACAGGTTCCTCAGGCAAAATTGCTTATGTCCAGATATAAGTTCGTATGGCATATCTTGAAACTGTTTCCATAATTCAGCCAAGCAAAAACTGCCACATTATGTCCGGAAAGTTTCCTTTGCCATCTGATGCCAGAGTTGGGTGTTAAATCTCTGAATGTTTGCAAGGTTTATTATCTGTGGAGGGGTTTGAAGACTCAACACCCCTTTGTTGAGTGGGAGGTCTGAGCGGACATGGCACACAGCTGCTCGGCCAAAGGCACTTAGAAACCCCATTCACACCCTTGCAGTGACTCTTTAATTGGCGGCAGTCTGCTCCTTCATACCCTTGCACTGACACTTTAATTGGTGGTGACATAGGATGACATTATGGGTATAAAGGATAGGCCACCAGTTACAGCCCCTCAGAAGAGCAATTTTGTGTTCCCCCCCAGACAGGGCTTGATCTTGTTGAAGTCTATCTTTAGAGTTTCATGAGCAGGAAGGCACAAGCAATGTGAAGAATGTTAAGTTAGGAAAGATAAGCCTCTGCTCCTGTTTATTTAAGCAAGTGGTTTGGAAAGAGCCACTCAGCTTTACAGACACATGATCCTTGTTGCATTTTTGAATACTGTATTGGAATTAATGGATAAAAGGCATGGGGGATAAGGAGACTGACAGGATAACAAAAGGGATTGCTAATTACTCAGCATCAAGTTCAGGTCAGCAACCGGGGTCATCACAGCTAAAAAGTCTCCCACTCTTCCATTTCCACCTTCAACACAACTCCCTTTCAGAATAATATAATAGCCGGCTAAGTGTACAACAGCTGTTGTTGAGTTGCGGACAGAATGTTGGTCTACGACTCGGGAGATGTGGGTTCAAATCTCCAACAATGGAAACTCATTGGACATAGAGATTTGTAAACCACTTGTTCATCATCTCTGTTGTGTTCCGTCATTGTTTCTCTTTCTGATGCCACTGAGCACTTTGGGTTCGTCGCAGATCTTGGAGCATTCCAAACAGAACCTTGCTCATTAAATAGCAAGTAACGTGGTGAACTCAAGAAAGTTCATGCCAGGACAGCTGTGTGATGAACTCACAGATCAAGCAGCCATTCCAACGAGCCCCCATTGGCTACCGATCTAGACATCTGATTGGTCCAGAGACCACAGGAAACCTCTTTTATTAGCTCACCCTTCAGGTCTGAATGTTGGACCTTCCCTCATTTACAGGTGACATTTTGAGTAGATGGCTCTCATTTCAGCCCCCTTCCTCTGGGTACCATAGCCAGGTGGACATCAGGGTAGACAGAATGGAATGAAGGAGGATGCTCATATCTGGTCACATGCAGAGTGCCAACGGGCAGACTCGCCATCTGAAAGTCACAAGTGAGTGGTAAAAGTGTTGACTTATCCTTGGGGACATCTGGGGTCTCTAAAGTTGTCAAAGGCCCCCTTGTTTTTTGCCCATCCATATTCTCTCTCCACCAAGGACATCCACCAGTCCGTTACATCACATTTTTCCTCCACCTATTTCACAATTTGTGGCATCGCTTGTGCATATCATTGACTGGCTGATTGCATAACCATTTTTGTAACCGGTTGTGCGGGTGACTGCGGTGCTGGTTCAGCAACTAAATAGGCAGCGGAGGCTGTAACAACCGAGAACTGTGTTCAATTCTCTGCCCCCTGTGCACAGTGCCAAGCAAACAGCCATAGAGGGGTTACAAACGACACTTGCATTGCTTCCCTGGGAGTTTTCAGACCTCGTTCCTCTTCCATCTGGAAATCCTTTGCCATTATTTTGTCAAAATCTGATGTATTGTCTTGCTTAATATTTCATTATTGGGCAGCATGAACCTCATTACCCTTTTAATTAAGCAAGTGGTTTGGAAAGAGCCGCTCTGCAGAACCACAGTTTCAGAAATATCCAATTAAAGGCAAAAAGTCTGGGAAATAAGAAAATAGGATGAGAAAACAAATCAGTTACTCCTTGGTAACAAATGCCGGCTAGCACCCATCACATCCTTGGCCCCACAGCCAAGAACCTCCCCTCTACAAGACACCGAGTTGACAAAGACTAATGCTCCAGTGGGTGTAAACATGGAGAAATGATTTCCTCTATATCAAGATCCTAAGCCACTCAAATCTTTACCTGTTTGGCTAACACCCTGCAATCCATAGGGTTACAGTTAATTATACCTGTCTTAAGATCACTGGTTTCTACTCCAGCCTGGATTACAGATAATGTCATAACATTGCAATTAGGGCTGAATTTCTCGTTTTTGTGGCACACTCCCACCCAGATGGAACCTCGTCAGTGACTTCCTGAAGAAAACCTAAATACTGTATATAGAGAGCTGTTCTTGCTGGATGTGTGAGGTTGCAGTAACTCCATCATTATTATCTTTTCTCTTTCTGGGAGTAGCTTCTCGACAAGCCGGAGTTGTTGGGGTGTTTTGTTTGGCATTTGCTCAGGACACCAAACCAGTGAGAAGAGTAACCAGTAAGACACTGGGAAGCTGTGCGCTCCAGAGGTCTTCAGAATGCAAGCTTTCTGGAGGACTGGAAGCCAACTGATAAAGGGACTTGCCCACTGGACAGGTCCTAGATACCATCCTGGAACATCTGGAGAACTTTTGTTGCATCCTTTCCAACGTTCTTCTTGGACACCATTGTGGACAACCTCAGTGAGTACCAGGAGAAAAAAAAATAGGAAAATAGGAGAGGTAGACATTTCAGGTCAGTGCTTCCCAACCTTGGGTCTCCAGATGTTCTTGGACTACAACTCCCAGGAATCCTGGCCAGCACAGCTCGTGATGAAGGCTTCTGGGAGTTGTAGTCTAAGAACCTCTGGGGACCCAAGGTTGAAAAACCATTGTTTTAGGTTGATAGAACCTTGTTTTCTGAGAGTTGGGGAGAGACTGTTCTTTCACTTTCTCTCCTGAACTTTGCCTCGGTCAATGTCCTCTGTTAGATTTGGATTCACAACACCGAAATCCTTTCTCGGACAGTATATGATAAAGTGGTAAAACACACTAATTCTGCTCAAGGCAACTTAAGAGTTTATCAAACAAACATCAACAGAAAGGTACATCTGAGTTAAACTTTGTTGCTGAGAGAGCTGAGAAATTCATTCTAACATCTGCCTTAATACCAAAAATTCGTTTTAATTGATCTTAGTTTATCCAATGTTTTATTTTACTTTCACACACACACAAGCCTATTTTCAGTCTTTCTTTTCCTGACATCACTAAACAGCTGAGCGGCTTAATGGTTCACATCGTGAAGCCCGTCCTCCAGTGTCATTGCAAAGGCAAGAGGGCCAGCATTTAAATTTTTGACCAATTTTCCAGGCCCCGTTCTGTCAGTCTCTGTATCTCAAGGATTATGGATTCCCCAACCCAAGCTGGAGGCAAGAGATGGTTGAGCAGTTCGAGAAGTTCACAGCACTGTCAAAAGATGGGATGTGGAGAAAGATGCCGAATCGTATGCAATTTTTGGATCTTATGCCAGGCAAGGATTTCTACTTTTTTCCCACCATTTTGAAATAATCCGATCTAAGTAGGGGATTTTAAAATTGTTATTAGTGTTAGGATTTCTCAGCATTGCTGGTTGTTCGGGGGCCCACCAAAAGGTGTAGTAGTAGTAAAAAAAAAACCAGACACACTGAATCAAAGTTATGAAAACATTGACTGGTATCATATAACAAATGCAACTTTTAACCAAAAACCTAAGTATCTGTTAAATATTAACTTTGTTGTTGTTGTTAAATATAAGACACAATCTTTTACTTGTATTGTATGAGAAGATACAAGTTTTAACCAAAAATGTAAGTGTAGTATATAAGCTGTTCCGAATATTGCTGGATGATGCTGATGGTAATGGATGACTGATGAATAATCCCCATGAGATTCTATTTTGGCCCAGTCATAATTTTTAGTCTCTTGGTTCTTCTAGAAACGCCTCAACTCATCTAGAACAGAAACCCATCATGTTCGGGCAGGAAAGTCTTGATCTAATGGGGTTTTGGTCCTTAATAGCAGATTGGTAAAATTCCCGAACCTCCAGTGCAAACATGGCTTGGTTTATCCTGCCTTCTGAGTTCTCACACACCCAGATCTAGGGATGCATTACAGATTAAGAAGGCAGTGTTTACTCTGCTATTAACTCCAGCAATCAAAAATGAAGTCTGGAAATGACTTTAATTAGTGATTCATTCTCCATGTAATGCTGCAGTTTGTTCACCCACACATTCTCTTATATGGCTTACTTGTTAAGAACTAAACAGAACTCCCTCCAGGCACTGAAGTTTTTGATTTCAAAACACTGCATTGGCACCTTCATTCCTCATTGTGTATAAAAGCCCTTTTTAGCTGCTTTGTTGTTATTCCGTGCCGTCAAGTTGCCTTAAACTTCTGGCAATCCTATGAATGAGAGATCTCCAGAATGTCCCGTCCTTAACAGTTCTGCTCGCCTCTTGCAAAGTCAAGGCTGTAAATTCCTTTTGGGGAGTCAATCTGTCTCGTATTTGGTCTCCCTCTTTACCTGCTGCTTTCCACCTTTCCTAGCATTATTTGTCTTTCTCAGAGAATTCTGCCTTTTTATGAGGTGCCCAAAGTAGGAAAGCTTCATTTTCAACATTTTTGGCCCCCGGAGATAGTTCTGGCTTGATTTGATCGAGGACCCCCTTGTTCGTCTTTCTGGCCATCCAAGGTATCTGCAAAGCTCTCCTACAGCTCCATATTTCAAACGAATCAATATTTTAAAAAATATTGTAGCTCTATATAAATGTTGTTTTGTCCCTTTGTTTGGTCATGAGATGAAAGTAAATTAGGATCCAGACAGAGAACCTGTGTGCTAGCACTCACCCTGTAGAGTAGTCCAGTGGCAAGAGATGTTTGACTTTTTATATCAGCTTTGCCTTCACCGTTTAAGGCTAGCAGAAGCCAGCAGAAAGGTGATCCACAGGATATATTATGGAGAGTAAAGGGACAGTCAGAATGTTCTTCCTCTCCTAACTGTATTTGTCTGACTTCCCTCCTTTCCTTTCCATGCCTTAAACCATAAAAAGTGGGCATCACAGCTCAAAAAGGCAGTCGACCAACTTGAAAGGGTGTGCTTAAGAAGCTCATTGAACTCAAGAGGAAGGCTCGTCCAAGGGGGAAGCCAAATGAGCATGGTCAATGTTCATGTTTCTAAAAACAAAAGGCAGAATTTAGAACATTATGTCCCACCTGAATCTGTGCCGTGTAATCCATCAGGGTTGACTCTTGCCTGGGTCTCACACATCAAATTGTCCTGTTTTGCCCCTCATGCCGCCAACCTCGACAGAATGGCTGAAAGGAGGCTTTGAGGAGAGGAAACATAGCAACAGCCGATATTTTTTGAGATGCGTGGATGCCGAAGGCCTAGGCTTTGAGTTTGTGTTGTTCTTCAATGCATCTGAGAAAAGGATGGTGGCCCTCTTCCAGCCGGGTTCTTATCTGGAAGGGCCAACAGGGTAAGTCTGGGGAACCCCTGGACCTCGATACGAGAGCTAGTCCCCGAAAGAGTAGAGGATTGACTCAAAAGTCCGGATACCTTATCTACAAGCTGCCGGGTGTGTATTGAGCATTCCAGGAATTTCTGGTGGGAAGAGGTGGTGACATCAAGTCTAGTGGTCCTTGATTTCTGATGCTTTTTTAAGCATCTTCACCACTACCACCCCAGTCTCTCAATGCTTGGAAGCAGCTGGCATAGAAATCAGCTGCAAGGGAGCAGAAGGCAGTGAAAGCAGATGATGGAGCAGAAGCAACTCCCTCCATCCTGGTTCTTTATTCACAGTTCAAAGGGCCCAACCAGGATACCAAATTCTATTCCTAGAGGGAAGATCTACTTTTAGGATGACCATCCGTCCCTCCCTTCACCCACCCACATCCTCACCCTCACTTCAGCTTGGTTTCAATCTCTCTCTTGTCCTTCTGAGCAGGTTTGTGCATGGCGGGGCTCTGGCGGCCATTCTTGATACCACGTTTGGAGGTTGTGCCCTCTACAGCATGGGCAAGATTTTGACGGCGAACCTCAACATCAACTATAAGAGGTGAGCAGAGTCTTGGACTGGGTTTGTAAATAAAAACTGGAATCAGAATTCACCCGCTAGAAGGCTTAAGCCGCAGAGCGGATGTCTTCCAACCATATGAGTTTCTATCTGTTGTCTTCTTCGTAGCTACAAGTTTCTCTACAAACCCAGGCATTACAGGTCTCCAAAAATTTGGGATGTTGTGGGAAGTGGGGGCATAGAGATGTCATGGGAAGGGGTCCATTCAATGTAATGGAGCTGCCTAGTCCATAATGAAATATTGAGTAACCAGGCAAGATCGGAGAGGGATCCCAAGAACCAAGGGCGAGAGTTCCAAGAGAATAACCAGGTGGAGAGAGTAGAATTCCCTCATTCAGAGAAAGGCTGCCTACGAACAATACTCAATAAATAAAATAGAAGAAATGTGGCAGAAACTCACACTAAAAAAAATGAGGAAATAAACAATGCATGGGAAAGGAAGTCAAGGTGTTTTCATTTCCAGGTGGATAGCTGGAACAATAAATCCCCCAAAATCTACTGGCACTCTGAAAATGAGCATGGTTTACAGTTCGCATCGCCAGATACAACAAGCACCTCAACATGCTCATTAGCGTAAAAGTAATCATCAAGATCACTGCCTTTTGTTTGTCCTCGTTGACTTCATTACGATCCCCCTCCCCACCACCACCAGTGTGGTGAAAACTTGTAACCACCGCTCTTGTTACTCTTTATCCTGCCACAACATTTGTGGAGGTTTATTCATAGCTCTCAGAGTAGGAACTCATAAGAGAGAGTGGTGTTTTACGTTGAAAGACGAAGGAGTAATAATAATAATGATTGCATGCCATCCAGTCAATTCTGGCTTATTGGCAAACCTTGTCAGGGTTTTTCCAGGTAGAGAATACTCAGAAGTGGTTTCCTGCTCCCTCCTTCTGTTCTGGGACTGTGCAGCTTGCCCAAGGCTACATAGGGTGGTTCTTCTCCCAGGAGGTCCAGTGGGGGAATCAAACCCGCAACCTCTGGCTCTGATGCCAGATGTGGAGTAATAGTAGTAATAGTAGTAATAGTAATTGCATGCCATCTAGTCAATTCTGGCTTATTGGCAGCCCTTGTCAGGGTTTTTCCAGGTAGAGAATAATCAGAAGTGGTTTCCTGCTCCCTCCTTCTGTTCTGGGACTGTGCAGCTTGCCCAAGGCTACATAGGGTGGTTCTTCTCCCAGGATGTCCAGTGGGGGAATCAAACCCCCAACCTCTGAAGCCAGATGTGACTTCTGAATGTTGCAACCAGCTGGCTTGCTCTGTGTTCCAAAGAGCCCTGATGATCTCCTGCCATGGTCTCCTGATGGACCGAGGTCCACACATAACCTTTTATTTAGTTCACCCACTGGGTCAGAACAGATGATATCTCTCCTGTTGGTAAGCCCAACTTAAAGAAAAGCTATTGCTCCAGAAAAGGAATACAGATCATTACCAACCTCGTTGTGTCCCCTTGCAGCCCCATCAAGTTGGGCTCCGTGGTCCTGGTGGATACCAAAGTGGACAGAACAGAAGGGAGGAAGCTGTACATGTCTGGCTCTGTGCAGAGTATTGATGGTCAGGACCTCCACGCGGAAGCCACAAGTAAGCCTTCAGGTCTGAGAGAGGCCGGTAGGACCTTTTGCACCATGCATGGTCAGGAGAGTTCGAAAAGAAAGACGTGCAAGCTAGACCCTAAATGGGCCAAGAGGAAGGTCACCAAAGATGTCCAGGTGGCTGCGTTTCTGCTCTCCTGGAGGTGTCTCCATCAGCCACCATCTCACCTGGCGGCTTGAGAGAGGGGGAGAGATAAAAAGACCCACACCCTCAGCAGGGACAGCTGACATTTTCCTCTCCCTCTCCAAGGAGATGCCTAAAGAGAAAGATGTTGGCAGAGGGGCATCTGGAAACTGGGACGGGCAGGAGGGAGAAATAATGAGATCACAAGGTCTAGTAAACACCAAAGTATAATGTGTCTGACCTAACATCTCTTATTCTCATTCTTTTTAGCTCTGCTCATCCTGCTGGATTCAAAGACTTCTCCTCAGGAACGCATCCATTCCGAGTGATCTAGGCTCCTCAGAGCCTTCTCTTCCAGGAAAACAACACTGGTCATGGAAAGCTGGTACCCAAGCCAGACTGGATTTGGAAATCTGGATCCCTCTGCTTCATGCCTTCCCGGAACTGATATTACACTCTAATTTATATAACAAAATATATTCTTAGTTGAAACTATGGAGACCTGCACTGGATTGTGGGTCTTGGATGGTGTGATCTCTCCTCTAGTTTCTCCCACCATCATTTGCATCAATGGCATGCTATAAAATTCAGTAGTTTCTTTTTTTAAAAAAAAGAGAGAGATCCTTTTTAGGCTATAAACAATTTGGTGCTCGGTAGCTGTCTCCACTATGAAAAGGAGGGAGGAATGGAGAGAGGGCTAGGTGGGAGGGAGGGAGGAAGGAAGGAAGGAAGGCCAGTGGACTTGGCACAATTTATTACCAACAAGATGGTCAAATCCTGTATCTCAACAACACTCCACCCTAATTCCTTCTTTATTCCTTCCTGAGTCTTAGGACTTTTCTGAAATTAATCAAGAGAAGGAGAGACTGAGATTCATCGTACATGAGTCTCCCCTTATCTCCTTGAAAAAACACAGATCTTTCTGTACAATCGCAGGAGGATAAGGGGGGGAATGGGTTTTTCTAAATAAAAGCCTGTTGTAAAGGAATAGAAGCTCAGATTGCCACTTCTTCGATGAGGTTCAGGGAAATCTGGTTTGAATTGTTGAATGGGCCAGCATCCTGCTGCAGCAAGAGACATGGGCTGACATTTGAGCACGTAGAATGGTTGCTATTTCACCCTTACCTCATGCAGCTTTGCTTCAGACTGTTTTCTGCATTGTTATTTCCCCCTCCCCGAGCAGGATTCAACAAAAATATGCCTTGAAATTTCCTTGTACGGTCAATTCTGTAGGAACCGTTCAAGTTTAGAAATAAACAAGGACAGGTGATGTCCTGTAACATTTGGCCAAACTTCCCAAATCTGGTCCAGCCATTTGAGATGGTTAGCCCCATCAGCTGCAGTGGGCTCCCCATGATGATAAGCCCCACACACATCTTGAAGCCACCAGCCTGGGGGACACTAGGACTGACTCAGCAGGATATGGACCAACAAACTGGTGGGTCATCTTCTGACATCACACCCAGACTTGTGCAGAAGTTATGCGAAACATGAGTGATGTCTCCAGGATGAGTTACACAGAGGAAATGCGTGAGGAAGGATTTTTATCTTCCTTGGACTGGTATAGATCCAATATTGGACGACTTGTAAATCTGTAGAAGCCGGTGGCTTGTATGCAGTAAGCTTTCCATGGGTGTAATCCTTGATGGATGGAAATAGAGTCTCTGGTTTGACAGCCTTTCCTTCACCAAGATGGTGTAAACCTTGGAGCACTTTCTTCATCCCCCAGTGAGCCTGACAGTGGGAGCTGTGAGGACAGAAGCCTTAGAAAAGCCTTAATAATTATTATTATACAATAATCTCTTAGAACTACAGAGCTGGAAGGAACCCTATGAACATTGAGTCCAGTTCCTGTTAAGGAGGCACAGTGGGGGAATCGAACCTCCAACCTCTGGTTCTGCAGCCAGATGCCTAAACCACCGAGCTATCCAGCAGTTCTTAACAGGGCTTGCCTCTGCGACAGAAGTAAATGTAGAACGACGGGTAGAAATTGACCTGAACTTTGCCTAAACCACCGAGCTATCCAGCAGTTCTTAACAGGGCTTGCCTCTGGGACAGAAGTAAATGTAGAACCACGGGTAGAAATCGAACTGAACTTCCATGTATCTTTGTTGTTGCCAGCAGTTCTTAACAGGGCTTGCCTCTGGGACAGAAGTAAATGTAGAACCACGGGTAGAAATCGAACTGAACTTCCATGTATCTTTGTTGTTGAGTCATGAAGTCATGTCCGACTCTTCGTGACCCCATGGACCAGAGCATGCCAGGCCCTCCTGTCTTCCACGGCCTCCCGGAGTTGGGTCAAATTCATGTTGGTCGCTACGATGAACCTGTCCAACCATCTCATCCTCTATCATCCCCTTCTCCTCTTGCCTTCACACTTTCCCAACATCAGGGCCTTTTCCAGGGAGTCTTCTCTTCTCATCAGATGGCCAAAGTCTTGGAGCCTTCAGCTTCAGGATCTGTCCTTCCAATGAGCATGTATCTGGGTCAACTCTAAAGCACAACAGCAGGTACCAAGTCAACTCTACCACATTTGCTGAGATGTCGGGACCAAACCCTGACAATCTGGTGTGTACAGGCTATCATTTCATCTCATGGACCTGTATATGGACGGAGACAGAGAATCTGAGAGTTCATAAATGCCTGCTGTCTTATGTGTGTGCGAGACAGGATGAGTAAGCCGCAACCCTCCGACATTCGCTAGACTGGATTTACCAGTCCTGCTTTCTCGTAGTGCTCTGAGATAACCCAAAACAACACAGGTTGGCTCTTCTCCAAGGAGGCAGAGAGAGGGGGGAATCAAATCCCCAACCTTAGGCCCAGCAGGCAAGCGCTCCAACCCACTGAAGCCTACAGGAAAGCAGAAGAGAGTAGGAGACTGTATGTGGATACCAAAATGATAACCCCAGAGTGAATCTGGGGACGATTTTGTGCTCCTTGTTCTCCTGTTCCCAAGGAGGCAGAGAGAGGGGGGAATCAAACCCCCCGACCTCAGGCCCAGCAGGCAAGCGCTCCAACCTACTGAGGGCCACCAGAAAACAGAAGAGAGTAGGAGTCTGTACGTGGGTACCAAAAATGATACCCCCAGAGTTGAATGAATCTGGGGACGATTTTGTGCTGTTTGTTCTCCTCTTGCCAAGAACCATCTCGATACACAAGTTCTTTGAGGGCAGTGTGTGTGTGTGTGGACAGGAACTGTCCTACATTTATTCACCGCAGGATGACAAAGAACGATAGTAAGGCGCAAACGCCATTTCCCACAGGTCCAGAAAAAAGAAAGGTCACCGTTTTCCACGACACGGTATTGTTTGGTGAGACTCCACCTGTTTCACCGACTCAAGTTCCAAAAGTTTGAATTTGCCATTTGGTGAGCGAAGCAAATTCTGTGACCTGAATTGTAAGAATTACGCACCAGGTAGTTTCTGCCTCTGGACAAAATATGGTATTTCCTCATCTCTGCCCCCAATAACCACCATTTCTTTTCATTATTTTGCTGATTGTTTGTTTCCTAATAAAATAAGTACCACTTTAGTATCTTCAGGCTTAAGGCCGTCTTCCACTAGAAAACCTGTTTTCTTGTATGTTCTGAACCGTCTAGAAGGTGATAACAGCTGTAAAATGGGCCCGTTCTGGAGTAACCAGAGCTTGGAAATTACTAGTTGCAAGTAACATAATTACCTGAACTTAGTTACTTTTTTGCAAGGAGAATGTAGCTAGTAGGCAATGAGTTACTGCAAAATTACTTTGTCTTATGAGTAACTTTTTAGTAACTTACTTAAGAAGAGTGTTTTCAGACATTTTTAGAAACATTTTGACAGCAACTTTTCTTGGTTTTCCCCCATTTTCTTATCTGAGGGGAGTATTCTCTCATGACACCGTTTGTATTTCTAAATTTCAGTGTGAAATATCAACATTGGCCACTAGGGGGAACCAGAGACTGTTTCCTTCTATTTTCTGGCATCCTGGTCACAATGAGCGCAACTACAAAACCAATTTAGAATACTTTTTTGTTGTTTTGCAACACCCACAGTCCCCCTGCCAGTAGTATTTCCTCAGTACCTTTCTTCCTCGCTCTCAGGAAATAATTTTATTGTATCGTGCTAGCAGTAGGAACAGGCATTTCGTAAAGACTACAGAGAAGTGCAGAGAACGGTAATGGGGGGAGAGACTACGGATCCCAATACCTTCCATGGATTCTGGGATTTGTGGTCCTCCCAAAAAAAACCTCTTCTTTTCTCCTTGAGCTCTGCACATACCCCATCCAGCCTTTTGACAGCATCGCCTTGAGCACCAAGTCTCAGCTTTCTGTTTTCAGAGACTTCTGCCAGCTCAGATATTCCAGGATAATCCTTGATGAATATAACAAGCCATCTGAATGTCACACACTAACGGGGAATTGCTTCATCATCCTAATTCTGCTGACTTGGCGCTGCCTATTAAATAAACATTCCCCGTGGAAGTCAGGAGGTAGCGACTGAGCCCAGAGGACTTTAGGCTCCAGCGTTCAACCTTTGACCAGGAATTTTGGATCTCAGTTTTTTAGAAAAGTCACAAGTGAAAAGGGTTTAGAAACTGCCCTCCCTGGCACCTTTTTTGCACTATTGACACATCTGTGTTCTTGCATACTAACAGTGAACTTCTTTGTAATGCCCCGTATCTGTTATTTGGCCTGTCAAAACACCGAGGTGACGTGAGATGGAGGAAAGATGGCAGCCACTTTTCCTTGAATCAGACTGGCCCAGTTTCCCCACCTCCAGCTACAGACCTTAGAATTGACTGTTCTTTACATATTGGCCCAGCGATCAAAACATCATCTAGAAAGAGGGGGCCAAACCATCAAACCACAGATATATGTTTTTCGGTGGCCAACCCCGAACATCATGTTGTTGCAATCGTGCACTGGAGTGGAGAGGTAGGAAAGGGTTTAGCTTCTCAAGCATAGGTAAACAGTGGCCGTGGCGGAGAAGAATGATCCCTTTGTCTCGGCTTCTGTGCAAAACCAGCGTGGAGAAGTTCAGGGCGTCGTGCCAAGGGGACACAATTGGCTGGAATAAAATCTGAGCCTAGCACAGGAATCCAGAAAAGCAACTGAGACTGCAGAAAGAGCCCCAGAAAACAGCTGTATCTCTTGATCCAAACGTCTTTTCTCTCTCTCTTTTTTTTAAGCGGTTGTGTGTCTCCTCTTCGGACACTGATTGAATTTTGTTCCATGCTTTGACCTACACATAAATTGATCCTGCCTTTCAGATGCTTGTCAGTGTTGGGGGTGTTTTTTTGTACCCTCGGAGTGAAAAACGGAGCCGCTCTCCATGAGTCACCGAGCGGTGACGTTGAAGAGGCCAGGATATAAACAGCACGATAAAAACCTTGCCAGGTGTCTGTTGGGCTCCCTAAGATCAGAAGACACAAGACAAGAGGGATGCCGTTCCTGTGGAGGGAAGAGAGACAGAGAGAGAGAGAGAGAGGAAGAAGAAGAAGGAGAACAGGTAAATTATATCCATTGCCTTCAACGGAACAGGTGAGTCGGCTGCACAGATTTCCCCCGGAGAACTGCACAGAGAACTTTCTTTTCCAACAGGAAGGGTTTCATGCTGTCCCCCTTCAGCAGAGAAGAGATACCTTTGAGCCTTGTCTCTTGCTTTGGGTCTGTGTGTGTGGAATATATTGCAGGATCATGATGAGTGTTCAGAAACTCTGGATTATAAACCACAAAAATACACTCGTCTCTTTCATGTTGCAGATCGTCTCCTTTTCTGAAAGAACTTCTTTTTATTTGTTTGTTTGTTTGTCTGTCTGTCTGTTTGTGCTTGCCAGAGTGTTCAAAGCCCTTTTTCATCACCAGTTTTTCCTCATGTTCTGCTCTTCCTCGCTGTGATATCGCTAAGCAGGGTGTCGGATTTCTGAGCGCCCTCCCAAGCCGGCAATCTGGAGTCCTCCAGATGTTACTGGACTATAACACCCATCTGCCCTAGCCGGCATAGCCAAAGCTGAGGAACGCTGGGTGTTTCAGTCTCACGACATCAGCAGGAACCAACTCTTTATGGTGGCAAACGGAACATTGGTTTCTACTCCTTTTTTTAAAATATTATTTTTTTGAGATTTCAACCAGCCACGCCTGTGGACTATCTGAATATTTCTTTGTCGCCAGGATGGCTAGGAGCGTGTTGTTTCCTCAAATGAAGCCCAAAAAATCCCCTAAATGTTTTCCCTCCAGCTTCAGCCTTTGTGTTGTTCTAACCATACACGTCATGAACAAAATCCCTTGTTTTCTACTAAAAAAAAATAATCACCTATTAGGAGAGGGAAAAGGGAGACTGTCTAAACATTTCCGTGCCTGGGCATGACCGGTCACGCAACCAGTCCCTCAAGCAAGGCCGGTCATGCAATGAGGTGCCTCCTGAAACTGGGGGGAGGCTTACAGCAGTGGCTGGATCACCCAAGTGTTCTTGGACTGCAACTCCCAGTGCAAGCCAGTGGTGAAGTCTTCTGGGAGTTGCAGGAGGGAGCCAAGTTTGGGCACCGCTGGCTTACAGGATCACTGTTTCGCCGTCCGGTCTGTAGGCTTCACTCCAGAATATCCTGGGTGAGGGGGCAGCTGGGTTGTGCCAGGTCTAGGGATTGTCGTTCAAGTCCTGAATCCATGGGGTGGCAGGAAGGTTGGAGAAAACTCCAGCTGAGCGCAATAGGAGAGACCCTTTTTCCCCGCCCATGTTTCAAGAAACTTGCCACGCACTGTTCGTGGCTGTTGCCCAGAGGGAAGATGGGGCTTGGTGGAAAGAAGCGGAACTCCTTGCTAAGAAGACAGGATACTTCAATCCTTTGAAGCGCCTCAGCAAGTCAAAGCAGCCGAAGAACAAAAGAATTTAACCAGTGGCTTTTGCAGCTTTCATCAGAGAGCCCGTCGTTGTGTTGTACGGGCCAAGGAGGTATCGGGCGTGGGTACAAGCAGGACAGAAGCAGGAGGGGCTTAGGAACAAAGAGCTGAAATTAAGAAGGAAATAAGTTTTGAAGCAGTCCATGGAAGGTCAACATCTCCCCGCCACCCACCCCTGCAGAGCAAAACCCCTTGTGTGAATCTGGGAAAATTGCTATGTTATTCACCTGACATTTCCAAACTTTTCACGAGGCTCATAGGAACAGAAAAAATGTCAACGGCGAAGAGCAGCTTAGCTACGCTCTGGCAGGCCGCCTGTTTCATGCCTCGGTTACTAACGGGACGTCCAAACACACACACACACACACAACCCAGCTTTTGCCAGCATTGAGGTGTCTCTCTTTCCATGGCGGAAGTAGAGAACTCAAAAGGGAAAGATCCTGTCATATGCCTCTTTTTGCAAAGGTCATCCTTCTGACCCAGAACATTGAGGGCCGGAAGAGGGTTTATGTGTTTCATTGATCAGTCAAGCTGGTGGATGTAGGAATCAAAAGAGCTTTGTTTTGGCACAATAGACGAAGAGGTTTATTTGGGGGGGAGGAAGCCAAGAATTTGTAGGGAAGTGAGAATGGAGTGGAGGCAGAGAGTCCCAATGGTTAGATCAGGAAGATAAAGAGAGGGCTTTGGTTAAGGATTTGCTATTCCATTCATTCATAGGATCCCCCCATAGAATGTGACGTCTGTTGTTTGTTATTTTTCAGTGCCTAGCTCTGATGACGTCTAGAAGCGACGGTGTTTGCCTCCGACCTCTGAAATTTAGGAGAGGCAGCTCTGCTATGCCTCTTAGGCTCAGACTATGTTTCAAAGAACATATTTGTGCTATTGTGTTTTCCCGCCAGATACGCAATTTCTTTAAAGCTCCATGCCCAAGCAATCAGGCATGACCAATGGAGTCCATGTTTCCCTCCTTACACCCAATTGCAGGAGAAAAGCACGTTAAATGTCATGTTGAAAGTTCATAAACAGGCTTCTTTAAAGTTTCACTTCTAAGTAGATCCCAACCTCTCCTCTGTTTTATATCTGAGTCTCTTTGTGGCCACACTAAATCTTTTTTTTTTCCCCCTATTTCAGGTCATCCTGAAATAATTTAGCCTCGTTGCTTTCCATCCACCTCCGTTCATTCTGGGATGTTCTCCAGAAAGAAAAACTCCATCTCATGGCCCGTCTGCCCCAACGTAATTACGCCGGACAAAATCCCCACGTTCTTCATCCCCCCCAACCTGGCCACTCTCCAGGGCCGGCGCTTGTGCAGAAGCGCCAGCCCGGAATCCTGCCGTGCAACAGATCCCAGTTCGGAGCAGCAGGGAAACCAAGACAGCGGACGACTCCACGGTGCCTCCTCCATGCCCCAGCTCTCTAGCCCGATGGGTGTGCCATTCTTGCCGGAGAGCCCCCACACGCGGCGCCGGGAGTCTCTCTTCCACAGCGGCAGAGCGCCACGCCGATGCCCTTTCGCCAAGCTCTACACTCCACCCACGAGACCGCTTCTGCACCACGGTTTAGCAGCGGAGAGTGACTCCCCATCCTCCGCAGAGACGTCCCCATACAGCTCCCCTCTGCTGGCACGCTCTCCGGGCAGCCCTCCATCGTGCCAAGGCTACGGGCAACACCGGCGGTTGGCAAGCCGTTCGGCCAGCCTCAGCCCTGCGCCTCGGCCCAGCTCCTTGTCCCTGGAAGAGACCAGCTCCACGGACACCAGTCCCAGCTTCCCACGCCGGGGGAAGGAGCCCTCCTGGAAGGGGGGAGGTGGCACTACCACCGCCACCACCCCTCCACCCCTCTTACCAGCTTTCCCGTTGGACTTGATCCGTTGCCGCGAGCGGATCACCAAGGAGGTGATGCTGACGGTGAGTCAAGGGGGTCGGCTGAGGCTCTCCAGCGAGTATCTCCAGGCCCAAGGGTGCCTCCGCATCCGTGTGGTGAGCGCTGAGGCCTTCTACCCCTCTCACTGCAACCCACGGCACATTCACTGCTGCGTCTCCTTGTATCTGCGGCCGGGGACGGGGCCTCGTCAGCGCAGCGCCATCGTCAAGAAGAGCCGCAACCCCATTTTCAATGAGGATTTTTTCTTTGAGGGAGTCTCCCCAGAGGAGCTGCCCAGACTGAGCTTGAGGATCAAGGTACTCAACAAAGGTTCAGGGATGCGGCGGGACGCCGTGCTGGGCGAATGTGATGTCCCACTTGATTCTCTTCTACCCTGAAGGGCAAAAAATGGAAAGTTGCTCAGTGGTCTTCTTGGTTGACAGGAAGAGGCAGGTTAAAAGGGTCTTTGGATGACCTCCCACACCTGTCTGTCCTCGTTTTCTTGCTCCTGTTTGGGCCTGAGAGACCTACCACCAGAAGCTGGCTCAACGGTGCTTTAGATGCATCTGTGGAGCTACGGAAAGCCACCTCTTGTCTGTCTTTTCAGCTATTTGCTCTCTAAGAAAACATGAGTGGTTGCCAGCAGAGGGAGCTGTTGGGACGTCCTTGTCTGATCTCTGGCGCCACCAGTGTTGCAGGCCAGAAGATGGTACTGCAGCTTCCATTTCAGCCATTGCCAAGTGACAAAGGGAAATGATGGCTTTCCACCTGATCCTTTCTTTAAAAAAAAACAGTTCTGATCTGGCTGATCCTTCCCATACCAGCAACATCTTCTGTCACAAACTGCCAAAAGGTAGATGCCACATAAAAGGCCTTCTCCTCCCTCCTTCTAATATCAAATTCAAGGGCAAATGCTGAGGTCCACATCATTGAACAAGAACCATTAAGAAATAAGAGGGACATACGGTCATGCTTGGGGGAGAACTCAATACACACACACACAATGGAGAGTAAACTAGGGGGTGAATAATCAGCAATCACACCTCAGAGCAATAGTAGAATAACATGCTGGCTACTTTAACAATGGCTTAAAACATCTAATGGTTTGTCGCTCAGAAGTTAAAATAGACTTACCTCCTTCTGATTGTTCCAGAGGGCAGGATTAGACCTAAAGGGTGGAAAGAGATTTTGGCTAATCATGAAGAGAAATGTCCTAAAACTAACAGCCTCAGAAGGTAACAGACCCTGCTTAACTTGAGGTCCTTAAGCAAAGTGTCGGTCACAGGATGGGAACCCAGCAGTCGTACAAGTGCTGCTGAGCTCCCAGCAACTCCAATCTGCCTCCTTAATGAGATTTTTTAATCCAAGAACATTCAAGGACCACCAGCTTCGTACCCTTGTTGTCGTTCCTGCAATGAGCAGGAAGGATGGACCGTATGATCTCTGAGGTTCCCACAGCTCTGTCGTTCTCTGACTCTGTGCTCTGTTTGAAAGAAATTATGTGCTGGAGGGAGGCAGTTCCTTCAAGAAAAGGGAGCACACGCCAACATTTCACTGCCCTGCTGTCCATCTCTCCCTTCCCCTCTTGGTTTCAATAAAGTTCACTGTTATGTCTCAAATGTTCATGACAATAATTCACAGCACCTTGTGGGGGGGGGGAGAATCTCTACATTCAAATACATGATCAGATTTATCCTGCATGCATGTGAGAAAGAGAGATCTTTTATCCTGCTTCAATTTACTATACCTTGTTATTGTTTCACTCATTTCTTTCTGGTCTTTCTTATTTATTGGAGGGGTGTGGGTGGGGGACAAGGTCTCAAATATTCTACACACCAGACACACACACACAAAAAGCCATTCGGCTGCTTCTCAAATTTCAGCAAACATCGCTCCAGATGCTTCTTACTTGTTGTTCTCCTTCATGAGGACTAGACATTTATAGATAACTCAATGATTTAGCTATCTGGCTGCAGGGCCAGTGGTTGGGAGTTTGATTCCCCACTGGGCCTCCTTGACAGGAGATGGACTGGATGATCTCTAGGGGTCCCTTCTAGCTCTGCGGTTCCATGGTGATGATGGGGTGATGATTAATATATATATTTATAGCTTCTGATATTAAGCAGAACTTCGTACCTAATGCTACCTCCTGTGGCGTCACTATGTGTATGCACAACGCACTCTGAGCCGGTGGTGACATTTCTGCCTACGTCTCTTCTCCACATCCATCTGGGTCCTGACTCTTATCCTGCATTAGCCGCGCACACCCCTTTTCCATTAAAACCGTTTCGCACCGAGATGACAGAAGCTCACCTACATCCGACACCCACCTGACACAGAATCAATATTTCAAGAGGTTGATTACAGACCATCTGTCCCCCCTCTCGTTTCCAGCGAGGAGGCCGAGGACTTATTTCTCGTGACTCCCTTCTCAATTATGGAAGGAAACTGTAAACCAGGGAAATCTGGTAGCGCTCTGTTTTGGGACCGAGCCTTTTCGTTAGGGCGTTGATGGCATCTTTGCATCCCAATGTATGCTTTTTTGGGGAAGGGCATTTTCTTTGATTGATTGATTGATTGATTGATTGATTGATTGATTGATTGATTGATTGATTGATTGATTGATTGATTGACTGACTGACTGATTGATTGATTGATTGAATTAAACATACAGACTTAAAAACATTAAGACTCTCTTAACAAATAATGAACAAAAAACATTACAAACTAAACATCTATCCTTCCCCCATGGATCAGAGATTTCGCCATCGTCTAATCATCGGAGTATCGTCAAAGGACTCCGGTGAGCACTGGTTCACTATAAACTGATTTTGCCCCTAAGTTCCCGTCTTTTTCTGGGCCCAATTATGTGTCAACTTCCAGGTTTGCTTTACAAAGTCTCTTGGTTGGTCCCGCAGTGCCTCTGAAAGCATGTCTAGTTCTGCAATATCCAATTGCTTCTTTAATAACTCATCCAACGTTGGTGTCTCTGTATTCCTCCATTTTTGGGCCCAGAGAAATCTAGCTGCTGCGAATATATACAGCAGACTATATTTTATTTTCTTATCAATAATTTCTGGCCGTTGCTATTCCCTTGCTTTTCTCTAGAGCAGCTGCTGAATGACGCATGATAGGGCACAATAGAAAAGGCTGGCCTTGCCCTGACCGGTCATCCATGGGCATTGCCATCTCCGGCCAGCCGGGTCCTGAGAGGCATATAGGGGCCCTGCAAGAGAAGGAGGTTGTCGACTGACGTCAGTCAGGTCATTTCAGTAATTAAACAATAGGAACAACACCCAGCTGGGTTTGTGGGGAGGGTGAGGAGAGGAACCACTTTGGAACTAGGGCTCCAGAGAGAGGGGCTTCACCCTTCCATTCTCAGGGTAACCCCCCCCCCAAAAAAACGGGTTCAGAAGGATGCTTGTAGTTCCTCCAGTAGCAGGGGAACAAAGCCTCGGGGATTCAAGAAGGATCGGACTGAAGTAACCCAGACCCTGCATTTTTTTTTATTTTATTTTTTTTAATTTTGGTCAAGGATTTTTAAAATCAGCTAGCTGATCCAAGGTGCGGTCGCTCCGATCTGAACCATTGCAGAAGCTTGAGCTGCTCTTCTGGGTGGTGCTAGAAAAGAACAGAAGGTCCCTTCTGATTTTTAACAAGTTGGTTTTAGGGGAATAAAAGGAAGCGCGTCAAGGGACCTTATTTCAGAGGGAAATCACCTTTGAGTCGTAATACTGGCATTCATCAACAGAGGGCGCTGTTGGACAAGTAGTTAGACCTGCTGGAAAATAATTGAGTTATTAATTTCTTTTGCAAAGGCAGATGGGCTGTTCCTCCATCCTTGGCCAGACACTCCCCTTGTTCCCAGGGAAGCAGGCACGCCGAGTGTTCCTCCAACAGGATGTGGACAGTCCAGGTGTTCACCCATACAAAACATGTTGGACCTCAAAGGGCTCCCTGTGACAAGAGTGACGTAATCATGGAGATAAGTGTGTCACTTCACCTGGCGTTAACTGCGAAGGGATGGGTTGGAATAAAGAGGCCAGCTGTAGCTCTTATGTGCCACCTTGCTGAGCTGCCCAGCAGGGTTGTTGGCAAGTCCTTGGATTCAAGTCCCAAGTCTGAGTCTTTGGTCCCAAGTCCCAAGTCTGTTGGTCCCAAGTCTCAAGTCCCAAGTCTGAGTCTTTGGCACCAAGTCCCAAGTCTGAGTCTTTGGTCCCAAGTCCCAAGTCTGTTGGTCCCAAGTCTCAAGTCCCAAGTCTGAGTCTTTGGCACCAAGTCCCAAGTCTGAGTCGTTGGTGCCAAGTCTGAGTCCCTGTTAAAAACATGATCCCCCCCCCAAAAAAAACAGGAGGGGTGGGTGGGTTCTGAGTCACAAGTTGAATCCACGCATTGGAAACAAAAAACAAAAAAAAGTTGAGTTGCTGGTGCAACTTAGGTCTGACTTAACAGCGAGTCCCAGGACTCAAGTCCCGCTTTGAGGTGGGACATAACCATCCTGGAAAGGCAGATTGCATCTGATTTTGGAAATGAAGACAGGCTCAACTCCGACTAAGATAGGTCACCTGAACAGAAGACTTAAATAAGCACATACATTCCCAGGCACTGGCTTCCTCGCTTGAATGTGTGCATGTATAAATTGTGGATTCTGACTTCAGGCGGCCATTTTTCAAAACGTCCCACCCTCAACAAACCCTCCTCAGCTCTTGCAAACCCCAAGGCCACAGCTTCTCTTAGGGTGGTGCTTCCCAACCGTGGGTTGCCCAGATGTTTTGCCCTCAACAAACCCTCCTCAGTTCTGTGCAAACCGCACGGCCGCGGCTTCTCTTAGGGCGGTGCTTCCCAACCATGGGTTGCCCAGATGTTTTGGGACTATAACTCCCAGAAATCGTGGCCAGCACAGCTGGTGGTGAAGGCCGTGCTTCGGACTCGCTCCTCGGGCACCGCGCTCTGTGGGCAGGAGGCACGATCCAGTCCCAACCCTTGAGGGCTGGCTCGTCATAACTTTCCTGGAACCTGGATTCCTCTTTTTAAAAAAAATGCACCCCACCCAGTTGGAGCAACCCTGTGATCAAAAGCAGACGAGTCAGCACGCTGGTTATATAACCGCTTGGCAAGGGCACCCCGACAGGCAGGGCTGGCTGCCACCGGGTAGAAAGGCAGGCTCCGTTCCGGCTTTGGTGCAGAACATTGACTTTCCACCAGGAGGCATCGCTGCCTTTGGGATTCATACAGCATTATTCCACTTTGGGGGCGGATTTCGAATGCTGCTTCCTCCCTACCACGAACTTACTAAATTTGGCAAAATTCGCCATGTTGCGAATTATCTGACTTTCACCACATTGGAACGAAAGTGAGATAATTTTTTTGTTTTTTAACCAAAGCGGTTGAGGCCTCCAGGCTCGGGCTTTGAATGTTACGTGGTAACATTTTGCTACTTAAACTCAAAAAAAAAACCTTCTTAACTGTTAGAGCAGTACAACATGGGAGCCCATGACTTTGGGAGGTGGCGAGTGCAAAACGCTGGAGGACTTCAAGAGAAAACTGGACCACCGTTTGTCGGATCTGCTTTGAGTTGGATTCCTGTCTTGAGCCAGGGGTTGGACTGGATGACCTTCGAGGCCCCTTCCAGCTCCATGATCCTACGAAACCACCTTCTTTTCCCCCTGTTTGAGAGGGCTCAAAGGGACCGTGCGCCAGTGGTTCACGCAGAAATGTCCAAGGGAGATAGGAATATTGAATATCAGGTCCTTAACGTCCCGGGAGAGGCCTTGTGATTTTGGAAGGTAGACGCGGATTGCTAGGAGCATAGTTTCAGGCGAGGCTGACCTAGGTTGGGAAATTAAAACTTCAAAAGGCAGACGGGAGGGAGGATGATCCTCTCTGCCTTTGAACCGGGGCCCCTCCCATGGCGAGTGGGAGAGCATGGAGCATTTCCAGTTGGCACACAGCCCCTATAAACACTTTAACCAGACACAGCCCAGAAAACCCACACCAAATCAGAGCACGTGCTTATGTCTGTAAAGATAGGGGGAATGCAGGTTTATCTAAACCTGCTTTTGACCCTAGTTCAGGGCGGTTCCTGTGCTTTTGGTATCCAACACCCCGTGTTCCTTTTCTTCTCCTTAGTCCCTTCGTTGCATTTTAAGCACTACTACCTGTATGATACTGATGGGAAAAGTTCGAAGGCTGCAGCAGGAAAAGAGGAGGACCACCTAAAAGAGGGATTGACTCCATCCCAGAAGCCACCACCTTGAGTTTGTGAGAGCTGGGCAGGGCATTTTTAGGGTCACCTCAAAGCTGTACAAAAATACGGCGGGGAAGCTTAGATAAATTTAGCAGATTTCTAAAGCTAATCCTTCCCCATCTCTCTGCCAGAATATTTTGTGAAACTGACTTGAAGAAGGACCTCTTAAACTTCGACAAGGTGCACACAGAAAAAAGCCATTTTCCTTTCTCAATTCTTTCATCTTGATAATCTATATATGCATCTGTTAGTAGGCTTTATCATTATGTATCTTATTTTATTTTATTTTATTACTCCTGTAAGCCACCCCGAATAGACTTTGTCTAGAGGGGCGGGGTATAAGTCCAAATAAAGTAAAAGTAAAAGTAAAGTTCACACAGAAAAAGCCATTTCTCAAGCTAACCATGTTGGCTTTAAAAGTAAGAACTAGCCGCTTGCTGAATGATGGCGGGACATTAACGGACAGATAGCCAACGCAGTTGCTTCCTGATTTTCAAGACAACCTGGAGATGCCCTGAAAGTTTAGGAACACCGGACGCAAAGCACCCCTTGTTTCTCCTCTCCTTTTGTATCATTATGATGAGAATTTTTGCTTTCGTTGTTTTTGAGCAACCTAAACACTTCCTGTATATTTAGCTCCACAGCCCTTACAGCCAGGCTGGAAGGCAGATGGGTTTATTACACCCATTTTGCAGGGGTGGGAACAGAGATAATAGAGGCTTGCCACAGGCCCTTCCAGGTGCTATTTATCACTGAATCAAAATTCGAACTCTGGAGTTTGAACCTTTGAGAAAAGCTTGGGTTTCCCCACTGCCACCCATATTTTAAGCAAGAGGAGACCTGTAAGCTTGTAAATAACCATGCTTGCCTTCATACCACAGAAAAGCTTTGCCTGCTGGTGGCTACCCATCACACATCTCTTAAAGGCAGAGGAGCAGGTCGGGCTGGTTCCGCTGGTCAGTTGGCAACTAGGGTAAATGGGCTTTATTTTTATCGTGTTTACTAGCTTCTGGTGCTCTTGTAGCAGTAGCTTCGTCTGGAGATTTTATAACACATGCTTTTCATGCCACCAAATGCTCCACCTTCTGATTTCTGAAGCCCGGCCTGCGGTTAAAAGCAGAGGAGCAGGCCAGGTCAGTTTCGGTTGCCAGTTGGCAACCACGACTTACCCACATGGTACACTGTTAAGTAGCCCTGCATCCAGATATGAGATGTGATGGGTGGAAATGTTGTGGGCCTCCATTTCTTGCTGGACTACATACCCCAGCATCCCCAGCCCACCTGGTCAGAGAGGAGGTAAGCGGGAGTGAGATGCCCCAGGCAGACAGGCAAGGGCACCCTCCACGTGCGGGACAGTGCCATCCTAACCCTGCGCCACCCTCTCCACCCCACAACCTCAGGTGAGAATCCATGTGCCCCAAAAACGAGCCAGGTAAACAGTAATTATCCCCAGGGCTCAAATGGGTGTGCCCCATGGAAGGGGGAAAAAGAGGGGGCTGAGGGTTGAACCAGGAAAAAGTCACCTCACCCTATGGAAGAGGTGTGGCCACCGAGGTCTGGGCCTCAGTTTCCCTCTCCGTCTTTCCCTAACCAGCCTGTCAAGATCGGGGGTAAACTGGGAGATGGGACAATATTCCTCCTAATTTGGACCCAGGTTGACTTTCTTAGCTGCTAGGACATCTTCCTGGAAGCGTTCCTCGTTCCCCCCAATAGTCACAGATAGATTGCCCCTGAAGACAGAGGCTCTGTCTAGCGGTAGACTGAA